TAGTTTGAAGCATTTCAAACGCAACTTGCGTAGAACCACTTAAAAATATCACATTAATTCCGATAATCTTAAGTTATATTACAACGCATCAAAATGTAATTAATAATTCCGTGTATCGTAGATTTTTCAAATTTAATTCAGTATAATTCAAACGATACATAGAACAAGAAATAGTTTGAAATAAAACAAGTATGATCATTTTGCCGTTGTTTAGTAAATTAAAAATTACACCATTATCTTTCTCTAAAATGATGAATGTTGTATACACTATCTATAGCTACTAGCTTCGCCATTAGTCGACGCGATTCCTGATCTTAATAGCATCGAATTAATCGCGCGATGCTCGGTCCATCAGAATAGACTGAAACTAATCAACGGCACAATGAAGCACGCTGTAGCAAATAGTGGTCGCGCATTCTGCGGATACCTTGAATGCCCTCGCAACCCTTGAGAATGTTCACCGTAAGCGCAATAAGGAACGAAGAAATGTGGCTTTTATTGATTACTCTCTGACATTTAGATAACTAACTAAAAGGCCGCACTCTCGGTACCACGTAGGTAGTTAATTGCCCTGTGAATAAACGTCGTACGCATTTCACTGCTACTCAGGATTAGCTCTTCGGATTTGCCAAATGCTCCCACAAGTGAATTTCATTACGATACACGATATACAATAAGATTACTTAAAAATTTTCAATTCTTATACAAGCACCGTTCTGATTAGAACTGATGAAAAATAGAATAGTTGGACTTGTTACAATTTCATTTTATTATATCCTAGTTCCTGTGTAATAAAATATTTCGTCGTGCATCCCGCCGGTGGATTTCGGTTTCATATCTATGAAACAAGAGAATAAACTGGTGTTCTTTTTAAAAAAAGGATAAATTATTTCTCAATGCAGTTTTATTTCATGATCTCCAGTTCACATAATTTGAGAAGAAAGAGCATTGTTTCTTAATGCAATTTAAAACATAGCGATGCCTACCACGCTGTATGAAAATCGAATGTTTTCGGGTTCGAATGTTTTGTAGTTATGAGACGCGGCATAATATCTTATAATATGATTGATTATCGTTAATTACCAACAGCTTCCTAATTTCTTACGGCACACCTGAAGAGAATTTCTGTTTTCACTTTTACCTCGAAGTGAAGTTTTTCCCACTTCGGGAAACTTCTTATTAATAGCTAAAAATTCTGTAGAAGGTTTAACGAGCACGTTTTTGTTATTATCAATCGAGTTAACGAGCATCGATGACTAATCGATGGACGGCCTTCGTTTTACGTGTAACTAATTCCTTGCATGCTCGAGCTATGAGCATAGACCAGGTTCACAGTGACTTCGATGATCTTATGAGAGAAGAACCTGATGCTATTACGCGTGTGTAATTTCTAAGGCAGTGTATATCATATTATTAGAAAATGTGTGATAAGTGATAGAAATGATAGACGTAGTGAAATTGTAAAATTTAAGTTAATTGCAATTTTATAATTTTTTACGATAAAAATTGATTTGAAAAATTAGTTATGTAGCTATATTAGCTAGGATCGGTCGTTGGACTTTTTAATTAATCCGATGCTTTATTTTACGATTTCACTGTCTGCGCGCATAACATTGTATGTAAACATAATTTCATTTGGTTTTTATTATACATCTCAGATAAAATGGCGGAGGATGGCGCAGGAGGGTCGGGAAATAGCAGCACGGGGGAGGCGAGTCGATTGCAACTGCTACAAGAAATGCGGCAGCAAAATTTCGATAGCATTCGATTTGCTTCATATCGCACTGCATGCAAGTTGCGATTCATTCAGAAGAAAGTTCACTGTGAGTAGTATCTCAGATAAAAAGAATGGAGAATAGATAGAAATATATCAAACACAGTTCATCTAGTGTGCAAAAAAGTAACACCATAGATTACTTCACATAGATAAAAATACACAAGGGGATATGATTCTACACAAATGAAATTAATTGTCATTATTGTGTTAAATGTTAACAAAATTATTATAAATCATATAGTATGTAAAGTTAAGAATATTTATAATTCAAACAATCGCGAGGAACCTCTTGTTAAATAGTTCATCTACTTATAATTAGTACATGTATAATCCACTTACTGTATTTACTAATTATTTACTACTTTTAAGTTTTATTAACAAAGAGTCAAGATTTCATGGCCATATTTTATAGCTATCATAGAGCCACGTGCTACAAAGTTCTTGGTATGAATCACTTGATACCAGGAAACCTGTGCTACTTACTTGGTGTCAAAAAGCGCTTAATATCACGGACTGTGATGAAGTTCTAGTAATTCACTTACTATATTACTAACTGGTCTCTTGGTGTTAGAGAATCACAGGGTTCTATAAATCCTCAGTATGAACCCAAGGAACCACATGACACCAGGAAGTGTATGCTACTTGGTGTCAAGAAACGCTTACTATCATGAACCATGAGATTCTACTAAGAAAGATATAAAATTCTTAGATTTCTGCTAGAAAGTTCTTGTTAAGACCCCTTGAGCTTCATATATATTATAAATTGGACTTGGTATCATTCGTGGATTTAGACAACATTTCACTATAAATCTAAAAAAAAAATGGAAATGTGTAAAATTAAATTAAATTATATAAAATAAAATAATAAAAATAAAAAATTAATTATTCGTATTTTGAAGTGTTTCTGTTTGCTTATATGTATTTGGTATTTCCTGCAGTACATAACGTGGATATATGGAATGTGATCGAAGCATTTCGAGAGAATGGTTTAAACACGTTGGAACCATCGAGCACGTTGGGAGTTTCCAGGCTGGAAACTTTATTGTCTTCCTTATTTCACGCTCTTAACAAACGAGTGCCTGTCTCGCAACAAGCCAAAGTCGATGCTACAACCGCTCTGTTGATGAACTGGTTACTTGCTGCCTATACTACAGGGTATACAGATATTGAATTTTAAATAGATTTTAAATACTTCAACCTTTTAACAGTGTAACCCGAGTGGGGATTGTTTTTTGATCCAGAATGAGGAGACAATTATTATCTAAACAATTTGTCATTTTATTACATTGTCAAAGGGTTAAACTGGTAGATAATTAATTTCATTAAATTAAAGATGTAATTCTGAGTCCTTTATTTATTTCACATAGAAGATTGAACCGAACATTAAATTTTTAGGGAAAACAATAAGATATCCGTTTTCTCGGTGAAGGTAGCGTTGGCTACGTTATGTGCTGGAAAACTAATGGACAAATTTCGATGTAAGTAATTTCTAATGAACTAAGATCGCAGGAGAACGACATGATAAACATTTTCCGATTTTAATTTTGAATTATTATTAAATTTTGATTAAGCAGAAGGAATTCATTGATAAAAGTTGATTTAATATCAACAATAACGTTAAATCTAGAAAATCAGTGGGAAAAGGATTCATCATGTTCTTCTTGTGTAATGTCCAAATTAATTAATCAATTCAATCCACTTTCCAAATAGATATATATTCGCAAATATCGGATAGTAATGGCCATATGATACACTGGAGATTCTCCGAGTATTTGAAGGAAGTTCTAGCGTTAACGGCTGCGGTTTATGAATCGCCATCGTTTGGATACTCCGAGGGTCTCGCCAATTCAATATTTCCGCAAGTAAGTTTGTTGAGATCATCTCCGGTTTGTATACTAGAAGATTATTGGAAAATTTCTTCCAACTTAATGTGACTTGTGAAATGAGTACCGTTGGGTATCACACCGTTGTTTCAGAATTCGAAAGTCACGGTTAACGATTTTTTGGATACGCTTATGTCTGATCCAGGACCACACTGTTTAATTTGGCTTCCATTGTATCATAGGATGGCTGCTGTTGAAACAGGTGATTATCCAGTCTTAAAATTAAAATTAAAAAAAAATCTAACCATGGAGTTCGATTTTTAGACATTAGAATGTAATATACAGGAAAATATCGAGCTTCATAAATATCTTCCGGAATATAGGTTTATTCGATGATCATATATGCTTTAAGTAATTCTAAACGAATAATGTCATATTTCATCTTGATCTAGCAAATATTTCAACAGAAAATATGAATTACATATAAAAGAATAAATACACGAATGTTCACGACTATCATAATCTATTGAAATTTCTTCTTGGATTATAATATAGAATGGCTTTCACTGAATTTTCTATTGTCTAATTTTCACATGAAGAAACATAATGCATACACGTTCGTACAAATGGGGTTTTTCATGCGTGACTTTTCAGTGGCCCATCCCGTCATGTGTGACGCGTGTCATAAAGAGAACTTCACCGGTTTCCGATACAGATGTCAGAAATGCCACTCGTACCAGCTTTGCCAAGATTGTTTTTGGCGCGGCAAAGTTTCTGGGACACATAATAACGATCATGAAACGAGGGAGTACAGTAGTTTTGTACGTGTTAGATAGAACTTTCAGAAGTTCCAAGCATTTTCATGAATAAATAATAACGCGTATCTCTGACGTGACACCAATCTTCTCTCCTGTTTGTCCACCTGTAGAAATCACCGAGCAAACAAATCGGTCATTCCTTACGGAAGAGCTTCAGATGCGTACCTGAGAAAGGGAAAAATAGTTTACCGAGATTTCCGGAGCAACCCGAGAAGACGTTAGATTTATCACACATAGTGTGAGTGCCATGATTATACTCGTACGATATGCATAGCCGTCGACATTAACGCGATTCTTCAATTGAAAATAAATTGCCTGCATTGCAGCCCGCCATCACCTTTACCATCTCACAACGGTTTTCCAGATCCAGGTTTTATGGCTCCCTTTGATTCCGGATCGATGGACAGTCGTTCCACTTTAAGGAGGTGAGCGTGAAAACAAATCCAAATCGCACAGCTTATACTAAACGTGCACGTAACAAGTCACAATTTTTTATTTATTTTTTTTTTT